GGCCCCCAGTGGATGGGGTTTATCCAGGCAGCCTGCCTGGTGGAGGCAGTCTGTTGCAGGACTTTGGTGGCAAGAAATGCCTCCTTGGGAGTGGTGAGAAAGCCGGCAGAGGTAGTTGGGGGTCCAGAGACCCTCAGCCCTGGTGGGCCTTAGCCTCTCCCAGGCGTTCCCCTGTCTGCTCTTGAAGGGAGCCCTCCGCCTTCCCTCTAGTCTCTCTGCAGGGTCCAGCCGCCCACACCTAGCCGTGCCCTCTGAGGGTGAACCTGCAGTGTCACCTGTCTCTGGTTTTTTGATTTGTTTAATTATAGATGAGTTTTCTGCATAATTTATTCCAAAAGCCTGGATTATACTGTACAATTAAATCACATTCTGATCAACAACTTCACGTATAAAATTAACAACTGGCAACAGTTTAAACTGTGCTGCTGCATCTGCACGCAGGCTCTTCCCCTCTTCCCTCTCCGCTCCTTCCCCTCCTCCTCCCATCCCTCCCCTCCCTCCCCGACTCATCCCCCACCCCTCCCCTCCGCTCTCCTCCCCCTTCTCCCTCTGGACAAGCCTGTGCAGCCCGGCCTCAGGACCGGACGCCCTCACCCCCCGAGTGCTCTGTAGTTTGACCTGGGCCTCCCTAGCCTTCTAGCTGGGGTCTCGATGGTTCTGTCTTCCAAAGAGGCCCTCAGCCTCAGTTCCTCACCCCACACATGGATGATTTTGCTCCCCTGCCTGATGATGACACCTCCTCTTCCCTCACATACTCCTCTTGGTTCTGAAATATGCCTTGGAGACTGAGACCCAGAGAGTGCCACAGCACCTAATGTCGTCTTCTTCCTGCTGGGATTGCCCTCAACCCTCTAGCCCTCAGACACACACATCTTTGCCCTGTGCCTGCTCCCTGCCTCTCTTAGGCTGGGGATCAGGGGGTTACAGGGAGCTATTAGGGAAACCCTATTCCTAGCACCCTACCTCCATGCCCCCTCCCCACAAGCAGGCACGCAGGGAAGATTTCCTAAGCACTGGGTGGGGAAGAGGGGCTCTGAATTTGATGAACTTCTAGCCCACAGGGGACTGCCAAGTAATAATACGGCTCATCCAAGTTGCCCTGTGAATTTGGCCCTGAAAGCTATTCAGCTAATCATTGCCATCCCTGTTTACAGACCAGAAAGCTGAGGTTCCAAGGGGCAAGAACTTTCCACGTTCACTCAGACAGCTGGCAGAGGTAGCCTCTCCCTGAGGCTTCCCAGAGGCTGCATCGTCCTTGGGCAGGTGGGGTCACAGAGCTGATGGAGCCAGGAGGACGGGTGGACCTGGCTTCTCTCTGTAGAAGAGGGCTGCTTGCCAGGGGCCTCAGTTTTCTTGTTTGTGAAATGGGGGCTCAGTGCCTGTACCCTGCTGGGTTCAGGCACATCGGAGGACACAGTGATGTGAGGCTCTCGTACCCACCCCAGGCATCCTGCCGGCTGCAGTTCCTGGCTGCACGTGCCTCCTCCCAGATGCTCTCTCTCCTCACTGTTGTGCTAATTTGGCACTTGGAGACACTTGGCGATGAGCAGTGTCATCTCAGTGAAGAGCATGGAAAATCACAGGGATGTGGGGAGCCAGCAGGTGGATCTGTCCTGTTGGGAGGGTGACCCATTGGCTCCACTGTCTGGCCTGGGAGGAGGTGGCATATCCGGGCACTTGGGTCCAGGTCGTTGGGACCCCAGGCAGGATTTGGTCAGTTTGCCTTTGACTCATTGGAGCCATGGGTCCTAGAGTCTCCCCTGTCCTTCCAAAGCCCCTCGCCCCCGTCCTTCCAAAACCGCCATTCCCTTCTGCTGAAGTATGACTGTGCCTGGCCAGGGTGAGTCCTGGCTTGCTGGGTGGTTTCTCTGGCCTCTGGACAGGAACACTGCAGGTGCACAATTGACTCCTGGCCTCCTTGGTCCCATGTGTTACCCTTGGAGCCAGCACTGGGGCACCAGCCAAACCCTAGAGCCCCCAGATCACATCTTTGTGATGATGAAATCAATGATCTGTCACTTTCTTTTAAACTCTGGGACATGTGTTGCCTTCCTAGTTGGGTTTGGTTTAGGTAATGAATCAGAATATCTTGATTTCCATGGCATCGTGATGATGGGCAGTGCAGCTGGGGTCTACCCAGCAGACCCACTGTGCCAAACCAAGGGCCAGAGCCATCCCTCGACCCCAGGAGGGTGTGCATGTTCTGATGTGGTATGGCTAGGCCAGTCCCTGCGGGCTCCTAGCAGCGTCTAGAGCTGCTCAGCCAGGGGTGGGGGTTGGTGGATGGTGGGAAGACGTGTGTGTTTGTGTGTGTGTGAGAGAGAGAGAGAAGGAGAGAGAGAGGGACGGAGGGAGGGGGAGAGAGGGAGAGTGGATGTGGATATGGATGTGTCTTGGGAAGAATTGGACTTTATTCTGAGATTTAGTTCTTTAAAAAATTTTTTTGTGTTGAAATAGCCTTTTTTGATGAAATGATGGTGATTATAATAATGGTAACAATAGCAATGTGTTGTCTGGGCAAAATAAAAACTTGGCATCCATGTCTGCTCTTTCAACTAATTTTTCTTTACTTATCTGTGAAATTCTAGCACCAAAGACCTATAGATACACTAGAAAAGAGTCAACAGCCTGGGGTCATATCAGTGCTGTGCTGGTAAATGTTGACAGTTCACTCTCTGGGGGAAAAAAACTGAGATTGGCAGCCTTTGCAGATTTCTGGGCTATGAGTATTTCCACTACGACGATTTCAAGCTCCCGAGGTGAGGACGCTGAATGCAGAGTCTGGAGGAGGTGCATACTATCGGCTGTTGCTAACTCCAGCACACCCCTGGGTCAAGTTCACCACTTGGGTGGATGACCTTGGGTGGGTCACTTTTAAAGCCTCTGAGCCTCAGTTTACTCATCTGTAAAGTGGGGATGGTAAGTGGGGATTTGCTTCTCTGTGAGAATTGACATGCTGGCCCCATACCTTGTACCTCACGGGAGCCCTTGTACCTATTAGTCTCAAGAAGATAGTGATCGGCATTCTGTCCCCTAGACCAGTGAGTGGCTGAGATCAGGGTCAGGCCCAGGGCAGAGCTAACAGTTCCCTTGGAGATCAGTTCCTTGACCTCAACCATTCATGTGCCACCTGCCTAGCTGGCCACAGGACTGTGCAGCAGCCCATTTCAATATTAGCCAGCCCCCCCACCCCAGGCTCTGTCTCAGGAGCATAAAACAGCCACCTGCCACACTGCCCATCCTCAGCCAGGGCCAAGCCATCAGTGCGTGGTGGACAGGAGCCAGGGGCCAGGCAGGCTGTCCATTCTCTGCTCGCTTTACCCTCCCCCATCTGGCGGTTAAGACCTGATCACCCTTCGTAGCTGGGCCTGCAGCCTGACCTCCCCCCCACGCTCAGTGTTCATTTTTTCCCTGCAGTGGGGAGCAGAGGTGGGCATCAGGCAGTGGCTTAAACCAGCAACAAGCTAAGGCTAATACCTCTTTCTTTTGATGTTGATTTTTTTTTTTCCCATCACGGTCCTGACATTCAGCTTGGCAAATTGCAATTAGTGATCTGCCCGCCTCCTGATCTGAGTTCCCATGCCAACCAACCCGGGCACACACAATGGCAAGGGCCCAGCCCCCAGCCACAGGGATGTGGGGCAGGGGGCTGGGATAGAGAGTCAAGCTTCTCTGACCCAGAGAGCTATAAGAGGCCTGGCCCCGAGCAGCACTGGCAGAGGTAGGGGAAGCTGCAGGACCAGAGCAGGATTGGGGCCAGACTCCATCTCCTGGATCACATGGCTCCTGGGGTACCCCTGCAGAGGTGGGGGACTGGCTTTCCCCCAACCCTTACGTGGCGTCCTGGGATGTGCTTAACCCATGGGCATATTTCAGTCTTTGTGAGAATTCTCCTATGAGCCCTCCCCGGAAAGGCCTTGCTCTGTGTCTGGTGGGGTCGGGAAGTTGAGGTGCCTTTCAGATGCATTAGGGTGGAGACCTTGGTCACAGCAGAAAACGCTTTCTACCATATGGAGACTGTCTTTCTGGCCAGCAGCCCTTGGCCAGGGCTGGTGTGATTTTGCTCACCTGATCTGGCACTGCATGAAGCGGGGTTACAGGTTAGACTCCAGGCCAGCTCTCTCCCAGGTTACCATCCCAGTTCACGAGTGTGGGCTGAGAATATGGGGTCTTGTGGCCTCCTGTCCATCCTGTCCCTTCATAAAGATTCCCATGCAGCTCTCACGTGTGCTTCTCAGACCCCACAGGGTGGCCTCAAATCATCCCCACTTTCTGGAGGAAGACAGTGAGACCCAGGTGGATTAAAACAACCTCGGGGCGGCTCCAGTGCAGAGGAGACCTGCCCAGGCTGGGGCTCAGGTGGAGGGCTCGTGGGTCTCGCCACGTCCCCAGAAAGGGGCAGGCTGGTCTGAACGGGACCTGCGGGTGGCTGGTTTGTGCGGGGCATCCAGCGATAAGCCTCTGTTTACTACTTTGCTGGAAAGGCGAGGACGCCGTCCACGCCCACTGTTTAGAGGAGGCCCCGAGGGGCAGGGAGCTGCCCCAGGCTACACAGCAACTCTCGCTCGCCTGCCCTCCCCTTGCCCCAATGCCACCCAGCCTTGGGGCAGGAGGCTCTGAGATGCAGCAGACATCAGGCTCATCCACGTCCCCTCCTCCCTGGTGTCCTGAGTCCCCAGGTTCAGAGCAGCAGCTTCAAGGGCTGCCTCTTCACGGTGAAAAATAGTCTCCCTGCAGGCTTCTCAGAGCCACTGGACTCCCTGAGTTGCATTTAAACTCTAATCTGCTCCCCTCCCTGGCCGTCCGACAGTACATGAGGAGAGCCTGGGCCACCAGGTCCAGACTTCAAAGGGAAAGAGTCGTTCCCAGCCTCTGTTTCTTCTCAGTGAAAACTGGGTTCTGAAGGGGCGGCTGCTGTGGGTCACCCCCAGGTGGCCGGGGCGGGGCTGCTCGCGCCGCAGGCGGGTCCTCCTGACACTTCTCTCCTCTCTGCACACAGGATGCAGCACTGGGCCCGGCGCCTGGAGCAGGAGATTGATGGTGTGATGCGGATCTTTGGGGGTGTCCAGCAGCTCCGCGAGGTAAGCCCTCTGCCACTGGCTTCCCCTTTAGGGACCCTCTTCCAGCTGCGAATGGGGAAAGGGCTTCAGAAATGAGTGAGGAAGGCTTGGTGCAGTTGAGGACCTGCTGTGATGGGACATGTGGGACCTCTGGGAGCAGGTGGGGAAGCAGAAACATTGACTCCTTTGGGTCTTGATCTGCTCTTCCCCAGGTCACTGTGTTGGAGTTTTACCTAGTCGGCTCTGATGGGGAGATGGCGGGCTTTTCAGGAGAGTGAGGTCTGTGCTTGAGGCAGCGTATGGGGTGGGATCCAGGCCCTGGCGGCTCCAGTGGAACGTAGTTGTGCACGGAAGCCAGAGGCACTGTCCTCGAAACACGGATGGCCAGGCCAAACCGCCCTGGAGAGCGGTGCTGCCCGCTCAGGGCGCTGCATGCAGCGGGAGATGAGTGGCAAGTGCGTGCTTGGCGAGATGAGGGATCAAGGGGCGGGTGGGTGATTGATTAGGCGCGAGCAACCACATTCATCCTGGGAGATTATGTTAATGTTTGAAATAGTGATGTGAAGAGCAGGCCATCCGTCACCCCCAGAAGGCTGCAAAATGTGTTGCTGTCAGGCCACGGGCTCCGGAGCTGTCGCTCTTTATGTGGAAATGCGGAGTCTCAAAGACCTGAGCTCTTGGAGTGGTCGGTGTGGGGCTCCCAGGTATGTGTTGGACTTGAGGAGTTCTTTGCTGGCTGCCTGGGCTGGGAAGTGTGACCATAACTGAACAGGAGATTACTAGGTATTTCCTGCCAGTGGTTGGCTTGGGAACAGCAGATTAAGTGGAATTATCATTGGGAGGTTCAGTCAAGGGTCCAGGCCCCAGACTCAGTGATGAGATACTCCACTGTGTTCCTGTGTCCCTCTTGGTCAGGCCCAGGTCAGCAGAGGGAGCGTTCATGGGGTGTTGTCCTCAGGCCTGGCACCATTCTCAGCTTGTAGCCGGTACCCAGGAAATGAGAGTGGACGTGGGTGTGTTGATGTCGGCTGTGGGTGTGGGACCTGTGGCACAGGATGGGGCTAATCAGGGATGGCTATCGAGGTGGTAACATAGTTGGGAGGGGGAGTCTGAGTCTAAGGCCTAAGCCATTAGCCTGCAAGGTGTCCTTCCCCCCAGCCCCGGTGGCCCAGCCTCTCTTGAGCGCCCCCTTCCCTGGTGGCTGGGCTGGAATTGCAGTAACCCCCATCCTACTCTCTTCCTGTGAACTCTCAGTGACTCAGCCATGCTCGGAGGCCGGCAAAGCTTTCCAGAGAAGGCACGGTAGGAAAAGCTGTTCCGGAACAGAAGTCAGTTTCTGCTCAGGAATAGCGCCCAGCGCTTACTTGGTTCTCAGTGGGCCCTGCCAAGTGCAGCTGTGTAGGTTAATGAAGACACGAGAGTTCCCTGGAGTGTGTGTCCTGTGCCTTTCCAAGCTTCGTATCAGGACATGAGATGTACCCCATGCACTTCCAGCCATGAAATCTTCCATGTTTTCAATCCTCAGCTCAAGTATATTGCTTATTTTATAGTCATGGGCAGCTCAGACCGTAAAAGTTTGCTATTGGGAAAATAGTGTACATGTTTCAGGCCGGAGACATGGGTCTATCTGAACCATTGAGCTTCCTGGGTGGTGCGGACCGGAGATGGAGTCCCGCTCAGCAAACCCACTGTGTGCTCCTCGGCAGGTCTTAGACCCTCTCTGATCCTCATTCTTGGTCCATGGCGTGGCTGGGAGATCTGGCTGGAATGAGGCGGTGAGAATGGGAGTGGACAGGCTGACACAGATATGCTCCTTTTCTGGAAACCAGATTTAAATTTTCCTCACTGATCATTGTCATTCCTAGGATGTGCTGTTCCCTTCCTTTCTGCCGGGAGTCAAGCGATTCTACACACTTTCATCAATGAGCACATCATCGCCCACCCCCACCTTCCCAGGGGTCACGCAGTGGGATATGGCAGAATTGGGGCTCAAATGCTGGGCTCCTTACCCCTGTTCCAGGGCACTGCTTCCTGTCTAGCTAGGCCTCCCTTCTTGGGGTGGGCAGGATGAGCCAGGAAAGAAAGAAGCTGGGCCAGGCTCAGTGAGGCTGTGGTCAGGCGGAGAAGTGCTGACCTGGCATTCCAGGCTCCTTCTGGCAAGCCTCTGCCTGTCGGCGCCTGCCAGCTCTCCAGTGGCTCTCTGTCCTGCTCTGGGCTTCTCTCACCTGCTTCCCCAGCCTCTTATTTCCTGCTGACAGCTCTGGGGCTCCTTCTTGGCACAGGACACTCTTGTGAGGTGGGCAGTAGGGGAGCAGGTGAAGAGATCTAGAAGAAAAAGGCAGCCCTATGAGAGCAGGAGGAGCAGTCCCCCCACCACCACCCCCACAACGCACCCACAGCCCTGACTAAGCCACCACGGCTCTCCTTGAAGTGGACACGAGAGGGCCCGTGTGCCCGGCTCAGAGGGTCAGGAGGATGCTCACACTGAAGCTCTGACCCAGCCATGATGCTCCGTGGACCCTGGTGCCACCTCTGCCAAGCCTATGGCTTCCATCCCCATTGAGGCCACCCCTCTCCCTGCCTCCCTGAGCCACCCCCAGACACCTTGCCGTTGGGGTGATCCTTGACATTCTTCTCCAACTTGGCTGCCCTCTCCACCAGCCCCAGTCCTGGAGGCAGCCCCACCCCCAGGAGCTGGGTGCCACAGAGCTGGCAGCTGCAAGAGTCCAGAAACTGCAGACAGTGGCATTTAGGAGCAGTTTCCTTGTCTTGGCATTTTCCTCCTCCTGACCTAAGAACAACCCCACAAGGGCGTGGCTGGGTACAGACCGTGGCCCATTTATAGGTTGGACACCAGGGCAAACCTTGGTGGAGTGTGGGGGGTATCTGCAAAGACCCTCTCCCATTTCTTCACCTCACCAAGCCTCAGGGCAAGCACATAGTAGGAGCTCTCACTGTGGCCTGGGGCTCCTGAGCCATGCCCCACTGGGAAAACCCAGCCCCACCTCCCAGCCCTGGCCTACACCTGCTGTGAACAGGCCACGGAAGTGTGGACACTACTGCAGTCCACCCCCTCCAGGGCCTCTAGAGGCTGAGCGCGGTCTCCTGAGCCCCTTCTCTGCCCTCCCCCATCAGCACTATATTGTCATCCTGTGGGGGTAGGGATAGCAGAGAGCACATATGCTGGGGCTCAGCTCATTTTCATAATGAGGCTGATCATGATGAATAATTCATCAGGTACCTGGGGGTGCATGGTGGACCACGTGGAGATGGCCTGTTTCCCCGTTCTGAAGCCTAGGTCAATCTGATGGGTACAGCCAGGGACCCATCCCCCTCTGCCTGAGTGTCCAGGGTAGAAAGGGAACAACTCTGGGGACCTGGTGGGAAAGCAAAGCAGGACAGATTGTAGTCAGATGGGGGAAGAACCAGTGGTTCATCAGGCGCACCCGCCCTGGGATGGATTCCTGACTCAGGTTACATCTGCGTGGAGGGTCTCTGCAGAAGGCAGTGAGAAGATGCTCTGTCTGGGGTGGGTGTCGGGGTGAGGAAAGGCTGCCTGGCTGGAGCTGGTCTGGCAGCAGAGACCTGGGCTTGCCATGTTTGGCGACCACAGGCCAAGTCTTGACCTATGGGAACCTTTCTTAGTCCTGTCAACCCCCGCATGTCCCGTCAGGGCAGAAATGGCTTACAGCCCTGCTCACGTCCCGCTCTGCTTCAGTCCCCATGACGGCCTTAGCCCAACTGTATGCTGCTAGTCACTTGCAGGGAAACCAAGGTGTGGCTGACTGTCTTTACCCCCCAGTCCCACCCTGGAGCCCTGACTTGCTAGCCCTGGATGGTGGGGGTGGTAGTGAGGAGTATCGAGGCAGAGATGCAGGCTGGTGCGGCCCCTGTCCTGGACCGCCTCACTGTATCCACAGAGGGCGAGACCCCAAGACTCAGAGATCCGTGACCCAAGTCTCTGGCTCCTCTCCCCACAGCTGGGCTTCTCTGGACCATCGTGGTGAACCAGACAAATGCTCTTCATGTGTCCTCACTCCTGCGGGTAGCCAGAAATGGGATTTCTGAGCCAGTGACGGCGTTGTAGTCCCAGCCCATCTTGTCTGCCCCTGGCCATCCCCACACTGCGTCTGCTCAGTGCTCCCTGTGAATGTGTAATTAATATTTGCGGAGTGCCACATCTGGAGCTGGCTCAAGGCAAGGACCGAAGTCTGGCCACATGGAGGACCCCTTTTCTGAGGGGCTCAGGGAGGCAGCAACAGGGCCCTCTGCAGGTGCCCTTGAGACAGGCTTCTCCTTGTTCCTCCACCCTCACCCCCACCGCCACCTAGTACCACCAATTCCCGAAACACAGGCACCTTCACACGCTGGCTCAGGGGGTGCTGGCCAGGGCTGTGTTTGGCCCCCATTTGGGTTAGGAGGCCCTCTCTGGGCAGCTAAGGTGGGACCAGCCGTGTCCAGGAGTGCCAGAGGGGCTCAGAACCCTGGAGGGGCCGCAGCAGATGAGGATGCAGGAAGCTGGGGGTGGAGGAAGGTGCCAGGGACAGAATCAGCCCTGGGAAGGCCAGAAAAAGGGAGCACCAGTGGTTGTGATCCCCAGACCTCCCCTTAGTCCTTCAGTTGCAGCACTGTGGTTCCGCTGGCCTCAAGAGGCAGGCCTCAGCTCCTTGGCCAGGTGGACCCACACTCAGGCAGGACGCGCACGGCAGTCCCAGCTCACATGCTCCGTCAGGAGAGCAGTGCTGAGGGAGCCCCACCCAGGCCCATGACACCCCTTCCCCAAGGTTATGGGAAGCCACAGAACCACCATCCAGGGTCTCTGCAGTTGCTTCTCCCCTTACGGCCCCCCACCCCTGCTCCAGCCACCTCCCACTGAGGCCCAGCGGCGCCCTCTCATCTCCCCGTGCAGATGATCCGGACGTGTGGCGCATGAGGGTGGGGATGGTGGGGGGCGCGCGTGTGAAATATGCCGCTGGGTAGGGATTGCTGCCGCTCGCCTCTCTAAAAACCCACATATATTA